CTCTCTCTCTCTCTCTCTCTCTCTCTCTCTCTCTCTCTCTCTCTCTCTCTCTCTCTCTCTCTGTGTGTGTGTGTGTGTGTGTGTGTGTCTGTGTGAGGCAAAGCTGATGGGTGCTTAGTACTCGTTACTACAGCTCGAAGGAGCTCTTATCACAAAGGTCAACACAGCTCTAGCCTGATTGATTGATTGATTGATTGATTGACTGATGGATGCATGGATGCATGCATGGGTGAATGGGTGAATGAAGGGGGTGGTTCCTATCAATTACTCACCATGCATTGAAGGCAGCATGATAGACTTGACGGAGCTTCTCGTATTCTGCCAGTGCTTTGGCGCTTTCCGGCCTCTTCGCAAGTCGCTCGGCCCATGCAAAGAGTTCCAACGTGGCGCTATACTCTGGCTTCGCTGCCATCCTCTCCTTCCATCCTCCTCCTGTAACTGCTCTTCCCGCCATTTTCAAGCCAACTTGTAAAACATATGCTGCTTTCCATCCGACGTGTTCATTTGCCGTTTTCCCGCGTCTTTCTCACTCCACCCCTCCCCCTCCCCCTCTTCCGTGCCAGCCACTGCTCATGCACGAGCTGCTGCGTACAAACGACAGAACACTCACCCACCATCTCATGAATTTCAACTCCAATGATGTTTCACGATGGGTTAACACAGCTCTCCATCCGCTGGCATCCTGATCCCTCCTTGTTCCGTCCATCTTCAGTCCAACTTGTCAATTCACCCTCTCTCTCTCTCTCTCTCTCTCTCTCTCTCTCTCTCTCTCTCTCTCTCTCTCTCTCTCTCTCTCTCTCTCTCTCTCTCTGTGTGTGTGTATGACATCTTCCTAATAGCACTCCTCTCTCCACCGTCGCAGCTGTCCTCTTCTCGCCCCTACTGAAGCAGATGCACAAACCGACAGAGAAGACGAACGAATTTTCAACACCCATCTCACGAACTGCAAATGCAATGATTGGTTAATGTGCTAATTAATGTGCGCTAATTAATGTGCTAGTTAATATAATGTATATTGGTTACTGATGGATTAATGATGGATTAATGTGCTAATTAATATATATATTGGTTAATGATGGGTTAATGGTGGGTTAATAATGGTTTAATGATGGGTTAATGATGGGTTAACGATGGGTTGATGATGGGTGAAACCACCAATAAATCCGAGCCTCTTTTGAACGAGGTGGATTCGCCCTGCGCGCCAAGCTTTGTCGAAACGCCAGGGCAGCGTTTTTATGTTCGCTTTGACTGGCGCCGCGCCAGCCAGTTTGGTCCCATTAACTTATCGTCAACCCATCATTAACCCATCATTAACCCATCATTAACCCATCATTGACCCATCATTATTAACCCACCAGTACGTGGCCCGAGGCAACTGAGAACAAACGAGAGGCCATCTCCGAAAAGTGCGGAGGCTCTGGTTTAACGACGGGTTAGTGATGGGTAAATTATTGATTCGCAATCTCATCAAGGGTTGATGATGGGTTAATCATGGGTTGATGATGGGTTCATCATGGATTAACGATGGGTTAATCTTAGGTTAATGACGGGTTGATGATGAGTTAGTGGCGGGTTAATGATGGATTAAGAATCTCAGGAACGATCGAGTCCTCGTCGAAATGCTATTATCCGACAACGGACTGACTGGACCTGCAATTGGGCAAAATGTACTTTTTCATTCGGATGTTCCGCTGGGACTCCCACTGGGACTTCAGTTCCCATTCGTTACAGTACTGCTCATGATTCCTTTCTCTTTTCAATTTGATAACTTACTTTTAGCTGTAGTACATCATTAAGCACTGCTGATGGGATCGATTCATTCTCTGTAGAATGACTGAACGCAGACGCCCCTGAACTTTGGGCGACCATATTTTTCACCTGATTTTTTGGTACTCACGTGTCAGCAGCATTCTCACGTATGATATCTACAGGTGTTTCCACTACCAGGCTTCTTTTTTAACTGATGTGAATCCGTTCGTTCTAAAAACCGTTCGTTCTTTACATCCATATATACCGAACCGTCACTCTCTACGCCCATTCAAGAAGAAGACAATAAGGAGAACGCGATAGAGAGCGAAAGAGAGAAAGAGAGAGAAAGAGAGAGAAAGAGAGAGAGAAAGAGAGAGAGAAAGAGAAAGAGAGAGAAAGAGAGAGAGAGAGATAAGCATAAATACGCATGAACACAGTGCCATAACTCTCTCTTCACACCTCTCTCTGCTTACCATCTGCAAATCGGACTAACGTCCTCCACAATAAAAGGGGCACTGTGGTATTGCTTACCATCTCCAAACATTTTTTTTTTATTATTATTTTTTTTTTTACAATCTCCAAACCTAACTCTAGAAGCAATAGAAGATATTCCTAATTGGTGGATCTCATTAATTGTTCTTCTGTCTTCTGCTTGCCGGGGATCCACCAATTAGGAATATCTTCTATTGATAGTAAAGTTAAGAGAAGCAACCGGACTGACGTCCTGCAGAACAGAAGGGGCACCCGCGTGCGTGTGTGGTTTAAAGGGAAAAAAAGAAGAAGAGAGAAGGCCCAGCGCAAAGAAAAGAAAAAGAGAGGAGTAGAAGACGAAGTGCCAGCGCAGCTCCGCCTGTGTCAGAAAGCATGATGGCAAGATGATCGTGTCATGAAGAGAGGGAGGACAGTTTCGAGAGAAGGTGGTTGGTAGTTGAAGATGCCATGAATAGAAGGAATAGAGCAGGATAGGAAAAGAAGTCCACGGAATGCATCCAGGGAATATGAACCGAGATGTTATTATAGGAGAGAGAGAGAGAGAGAGAGAGAGAGAGAGAGAGAGAGAGAGAGAGAGAGAGAGAGAGAGAGAGTATTGAGAAGAAGTGGGATGAGAATTGGTAGTAGTGTATATTAGATTGGATTGGAGGTTTTCAAATTTGTAGAAATGCATAGGAATGTGCTTCTCTAGCTGGCCGGGATGGGGGGGGGGGGAGGCTGTCTCTTATACACATCTAGATGTGTATAAGAGACAGGTCTTAACTGTCTTGTGGGTTCCTTTAGCTTGTACGGAACGTTGTGATAAGGCGAAAAGAGGCGGCGACGGGAAGAAGAGAGGTAGCGATGGGGGGAGGAAAGGTGTGGATGGAGCGTGGAGGTGGCTAAGGGGAGCAGGCTGCGTCGGAATCGGGGGTAGGGGAGGTCGCAATTAGGGGGAAGGGGCAACATCGGCATGGGGGAAAGCGAGGTCGGAGGGGGG